CACAGTCAACAATCGTGTTGTGTTCTTGGCTCAAAATGACTAATCAATTTATCTGAGTTATTGATTGACAGGGTTGATATTACTCATAAGAATCTGTCGAGTTCTTACTCGCCTATTCAAGTCAACTCAACACCTATATGTCTATGGTATTAAAATTAACAAGAACGCATTTACAATTCCTGTATTTCAACCAAGCAAGGCAATTGGGTATATGTCTATCCTAATTGCAAATCCATTCCCCGAGGCCCGGGTTCAAGAACTTGCTCTATTTAATTCTATATGCAATCTAAAGTTCCCACTTTCAAGTTCAACTAAAGATTCGTAGATAGTATTTCACTGTTCGCTACTCAGCAAAATAATTAAACGCAGAATTAAATAAACAACCCAATATGATAAACCAACTTTGTAGAATTAAACTTCAAACAACAACATTCATGTTTCACCCATGATCCCAGAACAATGGGTTTTAGCCACTCATACTAGTGTTCATCATAAATAAGTTCAATTTCATCACAAAACAGCAAAAACAAGAGAAGAAAAGAAGAACTTGATGGTCAAAACTCCTCCTTGCCTCTTGCCTCTCTATTTCTTCCACTAAACTATGAAAGACTTGATACTTTAACCTTGGGCGAGCTTGACTTTATATAGATTAAGTGGGTTTCCGTCCAGATTTCCAATTTTACCCCTAAATAACGTTTTTCTGGACCGGACATGCGCGAGCTCGCGCATAACTTCACGCATTTCTTCTCGCATGATTCTGCCTCGGCCTTTCTTACGCGCGAACTACTGCGCAACTTCACGCGTTTCTTCGCGCACCTGGAGCTTGATTTCGTCCATTTTTTCGTCTCGTCCTTGCGCGCACTCGACTCCGAGGGGTTGTTCTTGCTCATAAATCATTCCAATATCCTCTTGAAAGCATCATATAGGCTCTTCATCCTGCAATGTATACATATCACAATTAGAGCCTATTTTTCATCAATTAACCATAATATGTCATTGGAATATAATCAAGCGGAAGCATAAACAATAGCTAAATCACCTAGATTTCGCCTATTATCAACACCTCACACTTAATTCATTGCTAGTCCTCGAGCAATCAACTATACTCTCTAGAGAATCCTTCACTCAACCATTTCCCTTAACACATTACACCTAGAACAATGTACATGTATTACGCCTAGCAGTGAACAATCCTAACCTCAAAGTCGACTCTCAAGTGTCATGCAATATTCACACTTCCTTAAAGTACTCTATACAGAAGTCAAGACTTGCTTTTCCGTCACGAATCATATGCCCTCACAATTACATCAACAAAAATTGAGTTCAATCTACCACATTCAATTTATATACTCACATATATCAAGGAAATCACTCACTCTCACAAAAGAGGTCACATGCATGCAATTGGCACCATAAGCTTGCCCTTAATGTAAATCTCTACTAATGTAGGCTAGCTCGATCCAAAATCAATTAGGACTTTTCATGGTTGTAATGTGGGCTAAGGGACAGATAGGATGTATTTAGGAATAGTGACTCAACCCCTAAGCACTTTAACACATCACATGAGCAATTTTTAGCGCAAATTCTTCAACCCACTTCTTATTCACACACAGTATCATCCCACAAATACTCCCTTCTTATTTAAGCACTCTATTAATTCATTCCGACTAGCTGGAACAAGACACAATGTAATCATCTCTTTTTTTTGATAAGTTTATTCTTCTTGTCACTCAATTTCTGCTAGTGGTGTATTCGTTTACAACATAAGTGCACCTTTCACCCTTTTATTGGTTCCACTCAAAAGTCACCCCACACTTATTTCCTTCTTACTTCTTTTAGCGCTCCTCTCACAATTAAAGTGCTTTAAGAGGTAAAAGGATCAAAACAATGTCAATTAAGAACAAATGGGTATAGGCTTGTAATGCGGGTGCCAAACAAAAGTCTACAGGCTCAAAAGGGTTAATTAGGGACAAATTTAATTTGTGATAAGCAATTAAGCTCAAAAAAGGTCAAAAAAAGCCTAACATCATTTTTTTAAACCGAGCATCACCTAAAATTTCGCTTCAACTCACATACCGGACAAGTTCTAGACATAAGTACACTACATGGACTACACAAATATTCACCACACATGGCATATGACTCATTCAGATCAGCTCATCAAGACACTCAATTACGACCATTCAATTCAGTAACAAACATACAAATTAAGGCACTTTCAGTGAGATTCAACAATTAGGACTAAGAGTTACACTCTAGGGTCTATTGTGTTCAGGTACGTCAACGCTATGGGTTCTCTTTCAATTTTTATAGCTCGTAGACCATTACCCTAATCTACAAATCAAAAATAAAACAAAAATAAAAACTACCTATGCCCGGTTCAAGGTAAACCCTTGGAAAAGAACCACGGCTTAAAGAAAAACCAAGGGGGAATTGCTACACTACCTAAGAAAAAAATAAAAAATCTTTTTGTTGTTTTCTCTAGACTCACTTCCCTCAAGAAAATCGTCTAAAAGATCCGTCATCAGGAAGAGCCAACAAAAAAAAACTTTTTTTTTTCTCGACTCCGTCCCTCAAGAACCCCGTCAAAAGGGATCTGTCGTCGGGCCGAGCCATTTATCTAAATTAACAAACAAAAAAACTACTCTTGCTTAACAAAAACTATCAAGTCAACATGAAACAAACAAAACAACCCGGCAATTTGTACAACTACATACAACATACAATGAAGGAATCCCCCACCCCACACTTAAGAAAGAAGACATGTCCTCATGGCTTAAAATTTAAAAGAGCAGTGAGGTGAAGAGACTTCCCTGAAGCTTCACTCTTGATTGGAAATGGTTTCGGGGTTCACGTTGCACGCACGCCCCAAAGCTCGCAACCAACCCATGAACTTTTTTTCTGACTTGACTTGTCGGTCAGCTATCGCGTCAACACGAGTGCCCAAATCATTCATAGAGGTGCGTAGACCAGCCACCTCCTGCTCCAATATGGTGTGCCGAGACACTCTGGTAGTTCTTGAAGAGGACGCTGCTCGTGACAGTGTTGTAGCTGTTGCGCTGGGCGCATGGGCCTGCGCTTCGCCCTCCACATCCATTTGCTCTTCCTCCTCCGATGCATCAGAACCACTCTCATCCTCTCCACCTGCCGCTGCTGCTGAGGCTGCCCCTATGGTGTTCGTGCCAGGTTGGATCTTGTGGATTTTTCTTACCAGCCCGTCCACACGAGTATTTTCAAGCACCTGCATATTCCTGCAAAGCTTAGTCACCAAAGATGGGAAAAAGAAGCCATACTGGCGTTGGGGGCATCGGATAAACATCTCGTCATGGATCACTTTGGCCATATCGAAGGGAAGAACCTTGATGAAACACCAAATCAATACAGCCTGGGGTCCATTCACCTCCATAGTATTTGTGGAGGGAATAAGGCGACTGTTAATCACATACAGCCAGCTCTTCGCCTCTGGAGTTAAGACAGATGAGTGGAACTTCTTTCCATGTTCCAGCCACTCTACCATTTTTCCTGGTGTGCAAATTTCATCAAAGAAGCGCTCCCACTTGGCATCGGTTGGATTTCGCCCATATTCATAAAAGTCAGTATTCTCAGGCAGAGGGTCGGGTAATTGATAAGCTATGCGTATCGCCTCAATGGAGGCATCCACCGCCTTACGGCGCACTGTGACCACATGGTTGACATGCTCTGGTAGATTAGCATAGAATTCACGTGCAACCATTACATTAGCCTCCTCTGGATCATCAATGAAGGCCTTCAAACCCCGCTCCATCAACTCATTGTACATGTGGGGGCATCGTTCCTTGACCTTTTTGATGTTTATGCCCCTCTCTGGAATTGGCTTCTTGGCAGCCTTCTCTGTAAAACAAGTCTGAGCCTCAGGGGTGACAAATTTGTTGTTGTCATAGGGACGTGCAGGAGCTGCCCTTTGGCGGCTTGAGGATGGACCCGTGGCTTGGCGCTTTTTCGATGGTGCCATAATACCTGCAAAATGTGGACACATTAGCTCAGCCCAACAAAAATAGTGTGACTTAATGTGGTTACTCAGACTTCACAGCTCTTTTCTAAGGGTCTTGCAACAAGGGCCTCCCACAAAATCTCATCCATAACCCAAATCAAGTACTACCCACCCCACACTTACAACAAAGTAACCCCACAACATATTTCACCAAGTTTGAATACCAAATCACAAAACACATCTACATTGATGGCATAAGATACAACATAAAAATCTGAAAGTAGAAAGATAAAAAGAAAGAAAACTACAACTAGGGCTCATACCTTGTTGAAAATCGTGAGAGACGGGGATGATGCTAGTGATTTTTGGGAAGAGAATCGTGAGAGAGGGTGATGGGGGCAGGGGTGCTGGAATTTGGTATTTTTGAAGGAGTTGGGAGATTTTGGAAGAGGGGATATGGGTTTTATTTAATAGAAGGGGGGGTAAATGTGTCTAAACAAATAACCTATTAAACTACAAAAATAAAAAATAAAAAGAAAAACTAGAACTAAAAAGAAAAACAAAACGTCTGAAAAGTTCCAGGCAGAATGTTCCACCCAAGCGCGCGAACATATGCGCGAAGTTTAGAGCTCGCGCGGTTCTGTTGAGTTCCAGGCAGAAAGGTTCGCGAACTTGTGCGCGAAGTTTTGGAGCTCGCACGTTTTTTCGTGTGGTTCCATTGAGTTCCAGGCAGAAAGGTTCGCCCAGGCGCGCGAACATACACGCGAAGTGGGTGCGAAGTCGCGCTCCTAGGCATTTATTTTTGCATTTATTGTCACCTGTTATGCTCCTGGTTGATGGTCCTTTCACCCGCCCTTCGTCGCCTGCATTTGTTAGTAAGTTAAAGCTCAAAATTAAACACTACTACTATCGTTGTGTTGCCTCCCAACCAGCTCCTTATTTAACGTTGTGGCACGACGGTTACAATATTTCAATGGGTTGCCTCCCATCCAGTGCCTGATTTAACGTCGCGGCACGACTCAACATGTTCTCAAGCATCCTTCAAGTCCAATGAGGCCTTGTGATGTGCAAAGTCACCACCCCAGTAATGTTTTATCCGTTGACCGTTCACCAAGAAAGTGCCAGTGGAACTCATATCTCTCAACTCCATGGCTCTATGAGGCTTCACGCTTACCACAACAAAAGGGCCTGACCAACGAGATTTAAGCTTTCCAGGAAAAAACTTCAACCTCGAATTGAACAACAGAACTCTTGCCCTGGCTCGAACTCTCGATGTTGAATGTGCTTGTCATTCCACCTCTTAGTCTTTTCTTTATACAATTTGGCATTTTCATATGCATGTAATCGAAACTCCTCGAGCTCATCGAGTTGCAGCAACCTCTTCTCTCCAGCTAAGTTCCCATCCATGTTCAGCTTCTTTATTGCCCAATAGGCCTTGTGCTCAAGTTCGACGGGCAAGTGACATGCCTTCCCATACACCAATCTATAAGGAGAAGCACCTATGGGAGTTTTGTATGCTGTTCGATACGCCCACAATGCGTCGTCTAACTTTTCGGCCTAATCTTTTCTATTCGCACTCACTGTTTTCTCAAGAATTTGCTTTACCTCTCTGTTTGAAACCTCCACTTGACCACTTGTCTATGGGTTATAGGCAGTGGAGACCTTATGCTTGACCCCGTACTTTGTAAGGACATTGTTTAACAGTTTGTTGTAGAAATGCGTACCTCCATCACTAATCAACACTCTAGGAGTTCCAAAACGTGTGAAGATATGCTTCTTGACAAAGCTTACCACCACCTTTGCATCATTAGATGGAAGAGCAATGGCCTCCACCCACTTGGACACATAATCAACTGCCACCAAGATGTATCTATGGTCGTTCGAGTATGGAAAAGGTCCCATGAAGTCAATTCCCCAAACATCGAAAAGCTCCACTACCAGGATGTTTTGCAGCGGCATCTCGTGCTTCTTAGTGATCATCCCGGTTCTTTGGCACTTGTCACACATTTTAACAAAGGCGTGTGCATCCCTAATAAATTTCGGCCAATAGAAACCTGATTGTAGCACTTTTGGGCGGTCCTGTCTCCACCGTGATGACCTTCGTATGACGAGGCATGACAACTATGGAGTATGGCACTCATATCCTCCTCAGGAACACATCTTCGCACCAACTTATCTGCACATAGCCTGTATAAGAATGGCTCATCCCACATGTAGAGCCTCACATCATGCAAGAACCTTCGTCTATTGTCTGGTGTCAATTCTGGTGGTGTCACTCCACTTGCAATAAAATTCACATAATATGAATACTACGGGGCTGTGCTTGAGGTGATTGCCAATAACTGCTCATCAGGGAATGTTTCTTTGATTACACCCCCTTGAGCCACATGGTTCCGATTTTCTAAACTGGACAAGTGATCAGCCACTTGGTTCTCTGTTCCTTTGCGGTCTCGGATCTCTAAATCAAACTCTTGCAGCAGTAGGACCCACCGAATCAGTCTCGGCTTGGAATCCTTTTTCTCAAACAAGTACCTGATGGCTAAATGATCTGTGTAAACGATGACTTTGGTCCCCACAATATATGACCTGAACTTGTCAAACACCCACACCACTGCAAGCAACTCTTTTTCAGTGATGGTGTAGTTCATCTGAGCTGGATTCAGAGTTTTGCTTGCATAGTAGATGGAGTGGAATATCTTATTTCTCCTTTGCCCCAAGACAGCACCAACAACCAAGTTGCTAGCATCGCACATCAACTCGAACGGTTCTCCCAGTTCGGAGCAATTATGATTGGTGCAGTAACCAACCTTACTTTTAGCTCCTCGAATGCCTTCAGACATGCATCATCAAATTTGAAGGCGACATCTTTCTCAAGCAACCTGCACAAGGGAGAGGAAATTTTCGAGAAATCTTTAATGAAACGACGATAAAAACCTGCATGGCCCAAGAAACTGCGAATGCCTTTGACAGATATCGGTGGAGACAATTTTTCAATCGCTTCCACCTTTGCCTTGTCCACCTGCAAACCATCTTTGGACACCTTGTGCCCCAGGACTATACCTTCACGTACCATGAAATGGCACTTTTCCCAGTTTAGCACCAAGTTAGTCTCTTCACACCTAGCAAGTACTTTATCAAGGTTCATCAAGAAGTTATCAAAAGAACATCCAAACATAGAAACATTTTCCATGAACTCTTCCACAAACCTCTCAACCATGTCAGTAAAAATGGACACCATACACCTTTGAAAAGTCGCAGGTACATTACAAAGACCAAAAGGCATTCGCTTGAACGCATATGTGCCATAAGGACACATAAAAGTGGTCTTCTCTTGGTCCTCTAGGGCTATAGCAATCTGATTATACCCCGAGTAACCATCTAAGAAGCAGTAGTACTCCTGGCCAGCTAATCTATCAAGCATTTGGTCAATAAAGGGGAGGGGAAAGTGGTCCTTCCAGGTGGCATTGTTCAATTTTCTATAATCAATGCAAATTCTCCACCTAGTGACAGTTCTTGTAGGTATTAAATCATTATTCTCATTAACTACTACAGTCATCCCCCCTTTCTTGGGTACACATTGGACGGGGCTTACCCATTTGCTGTCTGAGATAGGGAATACAATACCTGCGTCGAGCCACTTAAGCACTTCTTTTCTTACCACCTCTTTCATAATTGGATTGAGTCGCGTTGTTACTCTACACTAGGCTTGTGTCCATCCTCCATGAGAATTTTGTGCATGAAGAAGGCTGGACTAATGCCCTTAATGTCAGACATAGTCCACCCAAGCGCTCGCTTGTGCTCACGTAGCACTCTCAAAAGCTTTTCTTCCTGCAATTTAGACAAGTCAGACGAGACAATAATAGGTAAAGTGTCAGAGTCACCCAAATAAGCATATTGTAGGTGAGGTGGAAGGGGTTTAAGTTCCAATTTTGGGACTTCCTCAATTGACGGCTTTGGAGGAGGCCCCTATGGTCTATTCAAAGGCTCGAAGGGGTGCGTCCCTTGCAGGTACGCACAAGATGTATCAAGGATGTGCATCATCTCCTCAACCTCCTCATCAGCCCCTAGGCTATCAAGTAACATAAGTGCTTTCTCTAGAGAATCGTCTAGATATACACTCGGATAATGAATCTGCTCATCGGCCTCAACAACAGGTATCATTGAGAGCTCCTCATAGTGGCGGGGAAGTTGGATTGCTCTGTAGACATTAAAAATTGCTTCCTCGTCATCTACCCTCAAAATTATCTTTCCCTATCTCACTTTGATAATTGCATCACCAGTAGCTAAGAGAGGTCGCCCCAATATGATTGGAACCAGTTCATCAGCCTCATAACTGAGTATAATGAAATCAGCAGGGAAGATGAATTTCCTAATCTGCAGCAACACATCTTCAATCACCCCTTCAGGGTGTGCTATCGATCTGTCAGCCAGCTGTAACATCATAGTAGTGGGCCTTGGAGCTCCCAGGCCCAGTTGCTTAAACAAGGACAGAGGCATTAGATTTATGCTCGCCCCCAAATCGCAAAGAGCACGACCCACATCAATATTGCCAATGCGCACAGGAATCGTGAAGCTGCCGGGATCCTTAAGCTTTTGAGGGAGCTTATTTTGGAACCTTGAAATGCACTCCTCAGTAAGTGCCACTGTCTCAAATTCAGTTAATCTTCTCTTGTGAGCCACTATATCTTTTATGTATTTAGCATACTTTGGAATTTCATGAAGCACATCAACAAGTGGGATATTCAATTGAACCTGGCTTAACATAGAGAGGAATTTTGTGAACATGCGATCATCATTCTTTTTCTGCAATATCTGGGGAAAAGGGGGTGGTGGTCTTGGGGCCTCCACGGGCTCTGAAATTTCAGCAGCATTCTTTTGCTCTTGAGTCACTTTAGGGATCAACTCTCCATCAGGTATGGGCTTGTCTTTCTTTTTCTTTGGCACTTCCTATAGCTCCCTCCCGCTTCTAAGTGTAACTGCATTCACTTGAGGGTTCTTTTCTGTATCACTGGGGAGGGCGCCTGCAGGTCTAGTGTTTTGATTTGTTGCTAACTACCTCATTTGTCTTTCAAGATTTCTGAAGTCGGTCCTGAGTTGCTGATTGTCAATCAAAAACTTCTTTAGCAGATCATTGGTACTTTCTTCCATTTGTTGTGGTGGTCTTTGAGGCTGATTGAAATTCCCTTGGGGTCTATGCTGATACTGATTCTTCTTATTTCCACCCCATGAGAAGTTGGGATGATTCCTCCAATTTGGATTGTAAGAATTCCCGTATTGTGCATGCTGATTCGGCGGACCTTTGTTCTGTTGCCCCACATAATAGATAGATTCTGGATTCGTGGGGCACATATCACTCATATGACTGTCGCCACAGAGTTCGCAGCAAATGGTCATCTGTTGTACGTGTTGCATTGTCTATGGTTGCTGCATTGTCATCCTAGTCATCTGATTGGCCAGCTTTGCAATATCGGCTCTCATGGATGACACTTCGTCTAACTCAAGTAACCTAACTGATTTTTGCTTAACTACCTTTCGTGAATCACCCTCACCTTGCCAGTTATTATCATTAGCAGTGAAGTTATTCAGCAAGATTTGGATTTCACTATACGGTCTGGCCATGCAACTACCCCCACAAGCGGAATCAAGATTCATCTTTGAAGCATCATCTAACCCATCTACAAAAGTGTGACCCAATACCTCGTCCGTCTGGCAATGATGAGGACAGTCTCTGAGCATCTTCTTGTACCTTTCCCATGCTTGACGCAGTGTCTCGCCTGCTCGTTGTTCAAACCCAAGAATTTGAATCCTCAATACCTTTGTTTTCTTAGTGGGGAAAAACTTGATTAAGAATTTCCTCTCCAGATCATCCCAGGTGCGGATTGAATTTGCTGGCTCTTTATTCAACCACTCCTTAGCTTCCCCAAGCAGTGAAAAAGGGAAAAATGTCAGCCTGACATAGTCCTTAGAAACTTTCGGATAGTTGTAGGTATTCGTAATTTCCAAGAAATTTTGAATGTGCCTCTGTGGGTCTTCATGTGGTAAACCCACAAACAGCCCTGTGGATTGGATCAGCTGCACCATGTATTGTTTCAGCTCAAAGTGTCCAGTGATGTCAGGCTTCACAATAGCCTGAGTCATATTAGCCAGACAGGGCCTTGCGGCTTCAATCACCGTGCGTACCTCATTACCTGCCATCTCAATTGGCTGTGGTTGAACTTCGATGTCCAACTCTCTTTCAATTCTGGTTATCGCGTCCACCTCCCTCCTAAATCTGTGAAGTGTTCGTTCAATTTCGGGATCGAGAGGAAGGAAATTGTTTGCGCTTCTACTTCTTCGCATTCAATAGAAACTCTTGTATTAGCACAAACAAAGTGAACTAAAAGTTAAAACTCGAATAAATAAGTAAT